TTTTTTTTTGGTACAATTACAATTTTTTGTGATGTTTTACAATATTTATATATGTTGCATAGTATGCTATCTATTACAAGGATTTTTGTGCTTAATAAGAAAAAAAATGTGTAGTTTTTTGTCCAAGTTATATTTTCATTCTCAAGTAGTATTTGTTTGATTAATATGTAATAGATGTTGATATTTTATTGTTTTTATTAATAATGTTATTCATTTTGTCATTTTTTATTTAAATTTTCTTTGTTTTTATAAATTGATTCAAAGAATTTTGTATTTGAACTTCACTTATATAGGTCCTATGGATTCCGATTTGCAGTGAATCAACTGTTAGTAAACGATAAATGACAATTAGAATCTTTAAACTAAATGATAAATATTTATAAATATCCATTTTACTTAAATACGTATTTCTATTAAAGCTAATTTTAAATGTAATAAAATTTCTTTAAAAAATTACCGATATTACCAGTCTGATTGATTGGTGTTGACCGGTTTGCATGTAAATATTTTATTCAATTGAACCGGACTGGTCGATAAACCGATTCCTGACCCATCGGATCAAACTGTCCGGGTCTGGTCAGATTTTGAAAATAATGGGTAAAATCATGCGTAATGTAATTTATATATTTGCCATAATTTTTGAACTTTTACATCATTTATTTAAGAATTAAAATAATACTCCCTTCTTTTTTAAATAAATTTCGTTTTGACTTTTTTGATTCATCCATTTTGCTATGTATCTAGACATTAATATGTCTAGATACATAGCAAAATAGATGAATCAAAAAAGTCAAAACGACATTTATTTAAAAAAGGAGGTAGTATATTATAATAAGATATGAATAAGAAAACAGAGAGACAAGTATTTTTGTGAATATTATTTATTAAAAGTGTTTCAATATATTAAAATTTCATATTCCTTGATTCTAAGTAAGAACTCTTAAATGAAAGTTAAATCAGATAGATAGATAAGCATATGAATCATAGATTAAACTATTACATATCATACATATAAATAAATCATAAAAATTAATATTAGTATTCCAAACTATTTTTATATTTATCAAATATTCGTTCATTACTTTTTAACTTCTACAATTTATCGCTATTGTCCCATCTATCCCGCGGCAAATTCGATCCTACCCATGTAAGCACTGCCCACATGAGGTGTTTTACCATTGATTTACACATAAACACACACACACCCACATAGGTGTGTGTGAAATCAATGGTAAAAAACCCCATGTGGGCAGTGCC